AATCCATGGTTTTATGTTATGATTTTTATTACGTAACTGTATACGTTCTGAGTTTTGCTGGATTGCATGACGCACACTTTCTATAACATACGTCATGCAATACTGCGGGTCGGTAGAATTATAGACTGGCTCAAAATCGATGACGCGTAAATCCTCCTCAAGTTTCTTTAATTGCAATTTAGTAACTAGGCGAGTATTTGGTTTAGGTAAAGTACAATTTAAGGTTAGTAGGACAGCATTATGATCGGTTATAGTTGAGTTAGTAACAAGTGCAAGTGCGCGGTAATCTGATTTTAGTATGATGTGATCTAGGCAGGAACCTTTTTGATGTGTAGGCAAGGTATGCGTGGGGAGTAGTCCATGTAGCGCGCATACATTGAGATATTCCTGAGCAGACGCATCAGCACTTTCCGGCATAATATTAATGTTAGTATCTCCAAGCACAACTATATTTTTGAAGGGTGTAAGATTCTGCAAGGTATCACTTAAAGAGTTGGTAAAATTTTGCGTGCTTTTAAATGATGGTGATCGGTATAATGCTAAAACTGCAAACTCTGAGCCGATTTTAAGTAATAATCTGGAGCAGTCGTGCATATTCGGTTCCACTACAGATATATTAGGTAGGTAATCCCTTGCATAAATTATCACTCCATCATTTTGGTTGTAATGTTTACCACTACAATACATATTATACCCAGGCATTAGTGGTATGTTATTCTGTTTGGCAAGCCAGCATTCTGTTAATACAATTATGTCACAGTTTATATCTAATCTATAAAGAAGTGTGCTAAGACTGTCAAAATTTTTGAAAACACTACGGATATTTTGAGTTATGATTGTTAGTGGTGTGTTAAAGCTAGACAGATGTCGTTTGCAGCTTTCAATTTCACAAACTTTAGAGTCAGACACAGAGAATTTGTCTAAATCATTAATAAAATTACTTACCATACGTTGTATATCTAAGAGTAGGACTAAAGATTATAAATTAAGTTGTAGCGCTCTTAGGCGCCTCCATAGTCTACCGAGTTTATATACCTTTGTTCGGCCATGGTTTTTGCCGGGCATTCAGTAGCACCTGTCGTGTGGTTGGCGGGCTTTTTGTAGTGCAGACAAGTTGCACATTTGGGTTCATCTGACTTCTTTGTGCAGTCCTTGATGGTATGGCCTTGTTCTCCGCAATGGCTGCAGGTAAAAGATGTTTGGCGACATGATTTAGCAGCATGTCCGTACTGCTGGCATTTATAGCATCTGGTCACCAGAGTGAAGTCTCGAACAGGGCAGGAAGACCAATTGATAAAAACTCGCTCTTGCGACATCAGGGCTTTACGGGTGGCTGCAGTTACCTCGATCACGTAATTACACGTCGCTGCATCTCTTCGGCCTGATTTATGGCTCATCTTAGTCGTGGACAGGAAAGAGTCCAGACTACAGTTCTCCAGTTTCTCTGCCAGATTCTGATGGTACAGACATGTTAGGGCTTCATTATCGGGCATTGTAGATGGTACACCGATGATGACTACACGCGGATTTCTTTTTTTGGGCTCATCTACGGAAAGACCTGAGCTAGACAATTGTGTTGATTGGCGCAACTTCTCTATATCACCCTTCGATTCCGTGCTGATGATAACGCCACCGTTTTTTGTTTTTCGAAGGCCTCTTACCTGTAGCTTCATCTCTTCAGGGCGGATAATTTTTTGCACCAACGATTTGGTTTCGTCACTCGTCTTCATTTTGTCGTTGGGGTATATGGCAATGGAACTCACATTTATGGGCTGAATAAATTTGTTAGCTCCTTTTTTTACCATATCGGCAAATGAGTTAGATTGGGTAGGTTTTGGGGTGTCCGTGATCCTCTGCTTCAGGTCCTGTATTTGATGGGAGAGGTCAAGCTGTTCTGTTAGGTTACAGAGGCTTTGGTGGTCTAGCATGGCTTTGCACTTTAGGGCTTGATATAAAACTGCCATCTGCGCTGACGCGCTGCTAACTTTCCGGGATAGTGCATTAACTCGCAATTTTTGTTCGGAGTTCATCTTGCCGTCTCCAACAATACTGCAAACTTCGGTAAGGCTCTGGTCGATCACTGTCAACCATTTTTGGATTTCCGGCGTCTGGATTGTTTCAGGGGGTTCGGGAAATTGGCATGGTCGTTGTGAAGTAGGAGTAGCCGGCGGTAGAGGTGTTCCAGGAGGTGAGCGCGCAACCCTGCTACTCTGAGCAAACGGGCTGTTTTCCATTTTGCAAAGTATTCACTTTTCAGTCACAGTACATTGTTAATTTACACTTATCACAATGTCGCACGATTGCTGTTAGGTTAAAGTCTAATATAAAATCTAGGTCACGATATTTTTACAATTGATTATTTAACATTAATTGTTTTGACGAATTGTTCAATACGTCCGATCGAAACGAATCGTCAAGATATATACTATGCTATGTTTGTTTCACGCCGGTTTTCTGTGAGGTCGTCGTATAACTTCAGTCGAGCAGGCCCATTTGTGCCGAAGGATGGCTCTCCCATACTTTTCTGATGTCACCAAAACGGGCGATTAGTTTTGTTTTTGGTTGAATATATTTGACTAATTTGGTTTTAACTATTGTTGAAATTTCAATTGGGAAAGTTTCATGATTTCATTAGTTAAGTTAGTTTCATTAGTTAAGTTTCATGATATCATTTCATGATTAATGCGATTGAAAACTTTTTCATTATTTTCTTGTTTCAAAAATTCTAGAAAACCGAATTCGTAGACTGGCTAGTCTTTAAATGTATGATGGTCATAGGTCGAGGTCAATACAACAGATTTATTTGGTCAGTTGACCGCTGTTGACCTTGACTTTATCTATTATTAGATATATCATGTTACCGTCTGCTCATCTTTTCAATGGACTCTGGAGGCAAACAATGATTGCTGGACACGAGGTATGGGTTTCATGGAGGATGGGCAACCGGCTACCGTAAAACGTGTCACGGGTTCAATACCAAACGGCACAACTCTGTGTGATCCGCATATTGTTGTTCCGCGTTTAGTTGTCATTTACGTTACATTGTATGTTAGTAAAAGCACCCACGACACAGGTCCTAGAGACCAAAGAATTTCACCTGAAAGAACCCACCGTTTCTTAGGGAGTACTTTCTGATGCTTTTTTGTTTTAGATAGTCCCATGTTTCAAGAAAGGTGTTAACGTACAATGGTACAAAACATCACGCTGTGTCCAATAACAGCTGTGCAGCGACGTGTGGGCAGCACAGGAGTACTGTTTTAGTTTCATTGGTTTGTTCAAGGTTATTGAACTGAAATGGACGTTATTTGAAAAAGAACAATTTTCTCAACTTACTGGTCAAGCATCAAAATTCTATACTTGACCGGTAAGTTGAATGTGTTACAATGAATAACGCAGAGTTCCAAGTTGATAATGGATGATGATGATGAAGAAAAAAATCTACACACTTTTTAGGTATAAATATTCATGTAACCAGAAGGTACCAAAATCTTCTGTTTCCAATAAAATAGGAGGAAATATTTGCCATGTAGCTCTGTCTCATTAGAAGACACAGTAAGACTTACCTACGCCATAAAATATATTATTGGAAATACAATTTTTTTTTAATTATCGTTGCTAAGCGTGAATCTTTAAGATCTCATAAATGTGGTTTTATGGTGAATTATTTAATAAATAAATGTAATCAAATAGATATAATGTGGTTTGTCATAAAAAGACAACATTGCGTTGTTTGACTGAGCTGAAATGTACTTATAAATATACATAGTATATAGTATATAGTATATATAGTATATAGTATATAGTATACCTAGGCGATGGTTAAATTGAGTTTTATAGATATACTAGCTTTTGCCCATGACTCCATTCGCGTGGAATAGTGACTTCCTGCAGATTTTTGGTATAAAAACTATCCTATATCCTTTCTCGAGTTCCAAACTATGTCTGTACCACAAATTTCACAGAAATCGGTTCAGTAGTTTAGGCGCGAAAAAAAGACAGACAGACAGACAGACATACAGAGTTACTTTCGCATTTATAATATTAGTTTGGATTTTGGATTGTCAGTACCTATTATAAGAAGACATTTTACTTCGTTATCATAACGAAATACTAATAACATTTCAAACATGGAATCTTTTATGTGTAAAATTTGAACAGATTTTACTTTTTTTGTATTGAGGGAAAGATCGTTAAATAACCTCTTTTGTCCTGGGTGGGTCGAGAAGGAGTAATATAATCTTCATTACTATATATGTATTATACTTAAAACAAAGACACTTTCACTGTCCCTATATCCCTATAGTATGCTTACGTCTTTGCAACGGATTGAAGAGGAAATAATTACATCCAATCTGGTGGAAAAATAGAGTAGGTATAAGCATTGCATTTGGGTCCATAAAATAAAAATATGTTGTCTTTTTCATATGAAAATACAATTTAAATTTATTAAACAATAAGGTTTTTGTGGCTAAAAGTAATAAAATGTAACGAGTTTATGTAATAAAATGGGTATACGGTTAAGTTGATGCGGTGTTGTGTTGATTTACTCGAATAATACTAACGTCACTTTGCATACTAATCAATAAGATAAAAATAATATACTTATTATTATTTTTATGCTAGCTGACATGGCGAACTCCGTACCGCCTCAAATACTGTTCTACCTTTTCAACCTTCCCTGGACTTCCACGAAAATGTCAAGACCAAACTTAACCAAATCGGTCCAGATGTTCGCGACATTTAGCGGGACTAACGAACAGTAATTCATTATAAAGACTAGTTGACCCGGCAAACTTCATTCCGTCTCATAATTAACTAATGCTTTCTAACCTTTTAAACCTTCCCTGGACTTCCACGAGTATTTCAAGGCCATAATTAGCCAAATCGGACCAGCCGTTTTCGAGTTTTAGCGAGAGTAACGAACAAAAATTCATTTTGGTATATAAGATATATTAGAATATGATATGATTATTGGAATAAAACCAAATTGTAATACGCACCTGTACAAGCAAAACCAATAGCGTTATTGTTTACCAAACACGTCACCAGAGCCGGCCAATAATTTTGCAACCATGAAGGCCGAAAGTATTATCACATCCAATAAAATTTCACTCGGAACACAATTCACATAGGAATACTGGCTGAACAGAAAGAAATGAAACGTTTTACTTATCAGAAAGCGCGGAATGTAATGAAAAATTACGGTCCATATACAATATAAGCGTGCTGTATTATTTGTTTAATTAATTTTTCGATGGAATTATTAGTTTTTTGAGGTGGAGATGAACGCGCGCGCACCGCAGTCGGCGCGTGCGATCAATCGAAACGGCTCGGGAACACGTCACTATAAAGCCGTAGTTTCAATCTTTTTTGTACGTACTCATCCTTTTTAGGGTTCAACGGGACGCAAGAACCGGATTGTGGTAACAAGTTTATGAGACTCGCGACCACTTGACGGATGTCGAGCACGATTTTTGCCTCGTCGCTATTGTAAATGTGTTAAGTCAACTTGATTTGTAGGTCGTTTCTACATTTTTTCCTTAACAATGATGTAATTAAATGTAGGTTTGATTTGAATGGTTCTTCTTTGTAAAGGTGTGATTTTTAATTTCGAAACAGAAATAATCTTTATTTATTTTGCCTATTTTAACAGATTTTTAAATTCACTCTATTTTTATAAAATCTTAGGAGCTGTATTATAATATGTAGGTAGATATTTATTTATGTAAACATATTAATAGCATGTACCTGACGACGTGTTAATAAAAATGGTATTTTATTTGCATGGATTTTTAGCTACGGAACCTATGTTAAATATGTAACTACACTATACTTTAAATGCAAGAAACAAAAGGTCAAGATTTAGCAAAATGGCGACTTTTTTATATTTTTTGGTGCATGGAAATTTTATTACAATAACGTGTTTTTTTATTTTTCTTTAATAATTTTCTTATCCTTTCTCGTGAAGTTATCAGATATATGATCAAGAATCAATGCCTTTTTTAATGGGACTTACAATATAACTAGTTTTAAGATTTTACCAGATAGTGTATCTCTCATTAGATAATTCCGCGAATCTGCCAAAAAAAGCCAAATTCTTTTTCAAAAACTTCGTGAATTACCCGTAGCATTTCATCTTTTACAAACATTAGAAAAATGGGCCCAGAAGAAGCCTTCTTTTTCCACAAGGTGGGGAAATGTAAAAAACATCCAAGATAAGTAAAATGCGGGTGGCGATCGCTTGGAATCGTAATGTTATAATCGAAGCATTGATGATGGCTAGCCTCTTACGTCGGAACTCATTTGTTTTGTTTCTCAACATCCATTGTGTGAATGTGCTACTATGGGAATGTCAACGATTGTTCCCGATTTAGTTATCACTTCCCAGTAATTTTACTAGTTAAAACGTCAATTCATTAAGTTATGTGATCATTTTTGTGATGAGAAGTTTAAAAATGTTCGTGTGCCTTGTTAACTATTAGCAATAGTTTTATTTTTTGAAGCAGTGTTTTAAAATTTGATAGTGTATATGTAGATAGGCATACTATGTTCTCCAAAACTACTAATGACATCGTGAAAAAAACATTATCGATGATTAAAGATTCATCACATCACAATTGGTTCAATGGTTTTTGAGTTAAGAACCTTTAGATTGACGAATAGTTACCACCTCACCTTAATTTTCCTTTTCCCTGTCCATCCTTAAATCTATGGAGTCACCAATTATTTATAGGTATATAATGTTTGTACACCATTAGATCTACAAATGCCATTAAGTTATTTCGATTCCTGTGTCCCTGACCTTGGCCGACCCATAGCAAATTGACATAGTAACTAACTTGTTTTTTTTATTATAATGATATATTATAAAAAACTTGTTATGTTATCCTTACTTTACTACTAGATGATGTTCGTCGTCACGTCTGTCTGTCTGCCTGTATATGGACACGATTAACTTCACAACGATCGAACGGATTTTAATAAGATTTTTACCAATATATAGTGTGAATTCAGAGGTATAAATCACTATGGGCCATAATTTTAGGTAATTAAGTAAATGTAAACAGTATTGACGTATCTTTTTATCTAAAAATTGTATGTAAAAAAATGTTTCCAATCAGGTATTCTACGTAAATCGATGTTAGTTCATGAATTAAATTTAAGTAATCTTTGTATGTGTTGATATCAAAAGGCGTAAGCAGGACTTTTTACCTTTAATTAATTACTTACATATTAACAAATGGACCATAGTAAATAACCTAGTGTTGTGGGTGTCCGTTGGTAGTGCAGATTGCTTACCACAAGGTTTTTCATCAGCAAGTTTGCCCCTATACCATAAAAAATATTGTGTGATGACAGGTGTTAGATTGGCGATGTTGGTACAAGTACTTCAAAGTTTTCTTCAATTTAAAATACTGCAACATTATTTAGGTTTTAGCACTCATGGAATACGGATGTTGGATGTAAATACTTTGTAAATGGTTTTATAATGATTCTTTGGCTATATTTTGGTGAGTATAAGATGTTGTAACAGCTGATTATAGTTCAAAAGAAGAAGTCATCTGTAGACTTAATTGAAATAACCATTAATATCAAAATACGTATATGTAGTTACATAACATTATTTTAAAAAGATCTTATCACCTTAAATGAGATTTATGCGGCATATACCAACGGAAGTAGGTATATTGTAAACTTATGTATTTTTTCTTATGTGTTTGAGCGTCAAACGAGCAAGTGATTCACCTGATGGTAAGCAACCAGGGTCACCCATGGATATTAGCAGCATCAGAGAAGTTGCAAGTGCTTTGCCTGCCGTTTGGGTGTTAAGAGTTTGAGGATTAGGGAAAATTCGAAAGAAAGGGTGAAGAGGAGGTGGGAAGTAATTTATGGGACCCTAATAACTTCACTGATACGGCGAAACGCAAAGTAAATGTTGTATCACGACTGTTTTTTGTCAGGCTATGGTTTTTTTTTTTTTCATTGTGAGGGGAAAGTCATCAAATTACTTCTCCCGCCCAGGGCCGGGCAGGAGGGAGTGTCAGACTCTTACTGACTAAAAACCCCCCTGTTCCTTCTCCTGCTCTGTGCCGAGGTCGCGGTACCTCATTGCGCTTACCCCGCAACCCCGGCTGAACATCAGCCCTTTAGGGCCCCGTCTGTGGTGGTCGAATGGCTCTTAGAGGCGCGCGCGGAACGCTACGCGTCGTACGCTCGGGCCTGGTTCTGGTCGGGCGGCGAGCTGCCCTTATTCGCCGACCGCAGGACCGTGGGCAGGCTAAGGTATCACTACAGTTTAGACAGCCCATTCATGTCTAATGATTGCTTTCGATGTGGTGTAATTGTGTTACAAAAAGAATAAGTGTGATGATTACTCAAAGAACAAAAAACTTACCTTACTTCACCATTCTGCTCATCAGAAGCTAACTGAACAAAAAAACTACTAAAACGTAATATCTCAATGATTGAATTGTTTATCTTTGTTCAACTTGAACCTACGCTACGTGTTAAGTTTTTGTTTAACTGTCTGACGAGTTACAATAAAAACTCAAGGATACGAGCCATTGTATAAATAAATATTAATCTGTTATAAAAAACATTAAGATGTTTGGACAAGTACATTTAAATGTACCTAAGTGCCATACTGAGGAAGTACTAAGTCTTAAAGATCTGATAGATTTGATGTTATGTTTATTCGGGCACCGGCCCGGAACAGGAAAAGGAATGGTGTGGTTCCAAGCCAGTAAAAACCTCTCACTCCCCGCTCGTCCCACCCGGGGATAGATGTTTGATGATTTTTCCAACTCCAAAATATTAACAAATAATAGTAGCTAAGTATTGTTTTGTTTCTTAATTTCGAGATTTTTTTTATGTGATGGGTCGGCAAACGAGCGTACAGATTACCTGATGGTAAGCAAGCAGCGCCGGCCATGGACACCCGCAACAACAGAGGAGTTACGAGTGCGTTGCCGACCTATTAGGGATTTGGGAGATTTAAAGATTGGAGAGGGATTTGAGGAGGCCTCCGGTAACCTCACTCACACGGCGAAACACAACGCTGTGGTTGTTTCACGCCGGAGGCATCCGGTAACCTCACTCACACGGCGAAACACAACGCTGTGGTTGTTTCACGCCGGAGGCATCCGGTAACCTCACTCACACGGCGAAACACAACGCTGTGGTTGTTTCACGCCGGTTTTCTATGAGGCCGTGGTATCACTCCGGTCGAGCCGACCCATTCGTGCTGAAGCACGGCTCTCCCACACTTAATTATAAGATTATTTGATGTCAGGGTTTGAAATTAGCGTCAACCTTTAGTGCAATGAATTTAACGCTGTGGAGTGTAATTCTTTGACGTTGTCTATGTTCACCGAAGGGTGTCTTCAACGCTCGAGTGGATTGTTTGCTTAAGGGAATAGATTAGTATTATGGTCGTATCATGGCTTACCACCAGGTGTAGAAGCGACCAAACACAAGTGGAAATAAAAAAAATAGAAACAAAAAGAAAATGATTATAATATGTTGTATGGCTTTTAGATGTGTGATATAGTGTAATGAGCCTTAAGAACTATACTATAGAAAATAAATTTGGAAACTAAATACGAAACAAGACGACAAATAGAAATAAATTGATAAGTCAACAATTAGACAAGATGCTCAAATGACAGACTATCCCAAATTCTTCCGCATAACAGAATCAATATTAATTGGTACAGAAAGAACCATCGGCTCCTTTAACCAATTGCTTCTCAAATTACTAGACTGGTTATGTATGACTCATAACAAACATGGTTGCTTCTCCAACCTGTTCTCTCACGATTGCGCAACCAATTATGATCTTTACGATGTTTAATATTACGTCTGAATATTTATTATACCTAGTTACCTAGTTATAATGAATTAAAATTCAAACTATCTCGTTGTGGTCGCTAGAGCGATTGGCGATTGAGTGGGGGAACGAGACATGAGAAATATTGATTATAACGATTTTTAATCTATCAAATCTGAATCTTTGCTAGGAAAGTAAAGAGTAAGGAAATTTATTATGGACTAGCAACTCTCCATAATGTCGGCTCCATTTAATCGTAGCGTGATGTTTTATAGCATATAGCACTCAGGAACATTGTAGCTATGGTATGTAGGTATGGTATAGCATTGTAGTATCAGTGAAAGAATTTTGGAAATCGGACCAGCGGTTCCAAATATCACCCCCTACATACTAACTTACAAACTTACAAATTTTACCTCTTTGTAATATATAGATAATTATAGATAAAAAAGAAAGATGATACTTCATCACAACATAGTATAAAACAAAGTCACTATCTCTGTCTCCAAATCCATATTTATACTTGAATTTTTAAAACTACGCAATTTACTTTGATGGGTTTTTTTAATAGATAGAACGATTGAAGAAGAAGATTTATATGTATAGTGAAATCCATTAAATAGTGGAGAAACTCGTGCGAACCCGGGGCTAGAAAAAAATTATTAACAATGGCTTTAGTTGAATCTGACGGGCGACCCCGATTGCTTACCATCAAGTAATCCGTCAGCTCGTTTATCAAAAGACGTCGCATAACCAGACATGATATAATTATAAAAATCTATTGTCAATTTTTAAATTTTCTATTGAAAAGTAAATGAAGTTTGAAAGTATTTCCCGGTAACACTACAAAATGTTCGCTTGATACAAGCTGCATAAAAGATTTTACTCGTTCGGTGATGTGTTCGTCATTCTCACGTCGCGTCGGTCCCATCGATTCCACTTCGGTGCAGCTCGCTCATCCTTTGGACTACATCAGACCGGCTACTTAATATAATATCAGTCGCAGAAACACGGCGCGGCTTTTATGATTAAAAATGTAAAAAAAATCGGCAAATCTCTAAACAGACAATCGTCCTTTTAGAGTTTTGTAAAACGACGTAAGCTCGACTTCATTTTTATGCATGAAGTTACTACTGTCAATTTTTAATTTTTATATCCTCCCTCCTCCTCGCGTCGGATTCCTCAGTGCTGAGGGTCGTGACCACCTCGTGGAAGCAGTGTACTGCGTATTACTCTCCGCCATCTATTTCTATCTGCCGCCGAGTGGAGAGCATCTGTGTATTCATCACTGTAGTGTTGAGAGTGGTGCGAATTTTTATATATTTATGTAAATTTTTATATATGTACAAAAAAAATACATGCTTAGTTATAGTCCAGTTAAATAAACCATCGAGACCAAACGGAGCCCATCACGGAATAGAAAATAATTAATTAATTTTCTGTTCTGTGGAGCCCATATTGAAAGACAACCCATTTTTTTTAAATTAGACTGTCACTTTTTAACTAAAAAAAACATCTAGGAAAAAATTGTTAGTTTGTCAGTCAATACTTTAGTGTAGCTATAGGTTCCAAAGGTGCGATAGAGAAGAACGAGCAAAAACTCCATGGTTAATCTTCACCTATCAGTTTCACAATGAAATCAAATTCTGTGTTACATTATTAAGTTCTTTTTGTTATGAGTAAATTAATTTTTAAATAGGGTTTTATTAGTAACAGTTTTTGCTTTATGAAAATAATTTGTCGCAAGTCTGTATCGGTCTTTTCAAGCAGAGTTTTTGAGCGAACATGCTCAATTACCCTCAAGGGATCACGGGATATTCGATCATTTTGTCGTCCCGACCACCGACCGCTGGCGTATTCGTGCTCTTCAATTTATGAACTTCAGTGAAGATCCTCACTATGGTCAATATCTATTCTGCATGCTTTATAAATCTATTTTGTTCAAATAAACGTTTAATGGTTAATTGGTGATAAGGTCTGAGCAAAAGCCTCTTCAAATCACCACGTTTGCTCAAGGTGGATTGGCAATGCCAAACTTATAATTTGACATTGGAAGTCTAGGTGGATCTGTGGACGATGAGTAACGGTGTTTCACTGCCGAATCAGAACCACACTCGAGCGCACGGCACGTTGCGTTCATGCGCGCCTTAAGGGCCACCAAATCACCAGAGATGGGACCCAAGAGGACCGATGTCTAGCAGGAAAGAATGTTTTCCTTCAACGTATGTCAGTGATTTTATAATAATCTTAGAAAGTCCATATGACTCGGAAAATATCACACTGGTTCTCATCAGCTTCAAGCCTCATGCATAAAAAGTGAAGTCATCAAATTTACTTAAAATGATTTTTGGCTAAATATTTTGGAAGTGAACCGTCCTAAAACTACAACCTTGTCCACGTATAAAGCCGATTTTATGTATTTTACCCGTTTTTGTACTTTCTACGTAAAGTAACTGAGAAGTTTCAAACTTTAATTCTTCTGCATCTTAAAAAAAGAATTCTCTAAAAATCGTGGCAAAAATATTTAATCTATGGCCATTTATCCAGAGTTGTTCCTCAAACGTGTTCAGTCTTAAAAGTTAGTTTTTTATTTCTTGTTTTTGACAATTTAATCTCAACGGGAAAAATATTTAATGAAATAAACAAAGAGTATATAAATGATATATTCTCATAAGGCCGGTCATGAATTGAAATAAAATGGGCGTGGAAGTACTCGTACAACGAAAACGGAATACTTCTAAAAGTTAAAAATAAAATTAAAAGTAAACTACAAAACTCTTATATAAAATACTATAAAGTTATATAGAAAAATACTTGTATATATCTTAAATTCAAGTTGTTACAATCTGAAGGGAGTGGTTATTTTTTTCAGAATTAAGTTTCGACAGAAGGCCTACTAAGTCCAAACCGCTTATAGGGATCACTAGTTTTTTAACTCTCCTTTTCTCATCTGGAAATACAGGTTCTGGTGTGGGATCATCTAAACTGTACATATCTTCGGTTTTACCCTCAGTAGTTTCAGTTGTATCAGTGGTATCAACGATCTCAGTAGTTCCTTCAGTCTCAACAGTTTCGGTAGTTGTGACAGTCTCAGTATACTCAGTAACTTCAGAACTAGCTGTAACATTATCAGTCTGTGTTTCATAGATATCAACTTCAGTGGCGTTATCATTAGAAACATCTTCTTCTTTTAAAGAATCATACTCTTCCGCCGTACGATTTGTATAAATATTTGAAACTCTATCAAATATGCCGACTTCCTGCCTTAAAGGACGCTCTGATCCTTGAGCCTTTAAACTACTGTCAAATCCAGGGCGTATCGGTGGTTTCCTTAATTCATCATTTTGTCTTTCTATTTCGGCGGCTCTATCAACCACAGTCATATCTTGTCCTTGCTCCCCAGATCTTCTATAGTAGGGGTAGCGAAGATTATGAGGGTAAGAGTAATGACCCGGTACTGTCAAAATAAAATAATCCGTTTTAATAATTTTCATAAAAAAAGATATGTTATTACATCTACTGCTTGTATAGAACCTATTATTATTAACACTTCTCTGCATCGCCCTTGCGGTTGACTGGTAGAGAATGCCTTTGGGTATTAGGTCCGCCTTTGTATTCAGAATGTACATAAAGTTATAAATAAATAAATAAAATATTATTTCATTAAGAAAGTAGTAAAAAATTACCATATTTATATTTAGTTTTCATATCGACAAAGCAATAGTTGTATCCGAGACCGATACCCATACCTAATGTTACAACAAACATGAGTATCACAGTTGAAACCAATCCCACACAAGTGGAATACAGTATTATTCTGAAATCGACAACATTTTACATAAATCATCTTGTAAATAGTAGATAAGTAATATTATTAATTGGCCCTATATTATTATACAATTAAATAAATTAAACTATTAAAATAGAATTGAGAGCAGCTCATGCAGGAATCGAACCCGCCACACGTCGCACGGCAGCCGTTGTAGTCAACATGGATTCAAGCAATCCCGCAGATGGACCACCTAATGTAAGTGATCAGTCGTCCCTAGATAGTCGTCCCCCACAACAGAACTAGTGTCCAAATACTTGATAAGGCAGGACTAAAGAAAATTCTTGACGAAAGACCTCCAAAGATTTCTTTATCAAATAAATTACTTTATAAGCTAGAGAAAGAACTGAAAATACTAAAAGCAGACTTACTTTTCAGATAAGTACATAATATTAGACATACAACTTATTACAACCCCCATCTTGATTAGGTTGAATTAATTACGTGTGTTGTTAAAAATACAGCTATAAAAGCTAAAAATATACGAAACGCCGCCGAATACTTGGCTGGCTTACTTTATGACTTGGGCATGAGGAACTAAACAATAAACCTGACATCTCCTTGAAATCGTTTTGACATTATTTTACAGAGGGCAGAATTAAAAATATTTTATTATTTACAAAGAGAGAAGGTGCTGCAATAAAACTTTTTGGATCATCGATGCGTCAACTCGTGCGTCGTCAACTCGTCGTCGTGCATGGAAAGCGCGGCTACCATTTGACACGATATTTTTATGAAATGATAACAATTTAACCCGACTCTTAAATATATTGGATGCAAGACATTATGTTATGAAAACACAAATATTTCCATCTAAATAAAAAGACTACATATGCAAAATAAAAATAAGTAATAGGCATATATGTCGGCAAACAAGCAGACAGAATACCTCCAGAATACACAACAATAATTATCTAAAATATTCGCAAACTCTGGTAAAAGCAAAGTTACTACAAGTGGGTTGCTGGCCTATGTTTGGGTTATTACGGATTTAAGGATAGGGGATTTGAGGATTGAATATGGGGGAAGGATTGGGCCTCGGGTAACTTCTCTCACTCGGATCGAACTGGCCCATCTATACCAAAGCAAGGTCTCCCATAGTTGACGTAAGACAAGACTTCGCTAAATGAAGCTATATTGTTTAGCCTTCATACAGCGTGCCTTCAAATAATTACGATAACACATTGTGATACATTTGTCTACCCAAAAAAACACAAGTTTAAAAAGTAAAACCAATATAATCATTTTAAAAAATACAGTAAATCAAGTAAAAAAATAGCAAAACAATAAAGAAAATGTATAAAAAGTAATAATACCTAACGTCCTTACACAAACTGGAACATGATCAAAAGAATCACGTTATTAATTCTAAAGTGACGTTTTTATTGCGACCCCTTAGTTTGGAAAACAGTGCTTCTAAATCGATCTCAGAGTTAATTGGTATTCGCATCGTTGCCTTAATTGTGGGCAAGGTGATAGTTCTTCGAGGCAATGAAGTGGCAGCCGTCCCCATACTTCGTCTCATGTTCTCAATGTCCATATTGGCCTCTTCAAAATCTTCGCCAGATCTCAATGCACTCCCGCCTGAATCCACTGAAAGCACCAATCAGAGTATTACTCTCTCAAATTACCAATTTTTTTAGAAGGTTTGATTTCAGAAAATAGTTTAGTATGGGTCAAAGCCCTGCTATTTTTAGCTTCTTAGAATAAATGTTTCTTTTAAAAAGACCTCATACTTACGTTTCCCAGCTTTCATATCGACGAAGCAATAATTGTAACCAAGGCCTACACCAAGGCCCAGCATGATAAACAGCGTTATTATAAGGCATATAACTACTGCTGTTAATGCGAAGAATGATGCCAATCTGAAAAGAGTTGACAAAATTAGTAAAATTCTCTTTCATAACACAACCATCGTTCCTTCTTATTCCCAAGGACAGACGGATCTGCACAAAGCACATAATTCAAACTAATATTATAAATTCGAAAGTAACTCTGTCTGTCTGTCTTTTCTTCACGCCTGAACTACTGAACCGATTTCTGTGAAATTTGGTACAGATACAGTTTAGAATTCGAGAAAGGACATAGGATAGTTTTTATACCAAAAAAATTCAGGAAGTAACTATTCCACGCGAACGAAATCGCTAGCAAAAGCTAGTTTTAAATATAACATCCAGTTTGTGTCCAGTCTTTTGTGTTAGAAACAAATTAATGGAAATCGCCTCGCTTTAAATTTTTAAGATATGTTTGGCCAGCTGCATATTTTGTATAGCCACTATCGTTTTGTTGAGGAGGAAAAAGTCATCAAGTGACCGCTCTTGCCCTGGGGGAGTCGAGAAGGAGTGGCTAAAACATCCCTCGCCTGCCTCCCGCTGAGCCGCAGTAACTTATGTACCTTAGTAGACCCCATCTGTGATGGTCTAACGGCTAATTCAGGCACACGTAAAATGCAGTGCGCTATACGGTCGGGTCTTGTTCTGATCGGTCGATGAGCTACCCATTTTCCTGGCTGAAGGTATTACCTGGTGGTAAGCAATCAGTATCCCCATGGACATCCGAGGAGTTACGAGTGCTTTGCTGACTTTTGAGGATGAGGAATTTGGAAAATTATCCAGTACCCTCACTCACATGGTGAAAAACAACGCTGTGGTCGCTTCACGCCAGTTTTCTGTAAGGCTGTGGTATCAGTCCGGTCGAGTCAATCGATTCGTGCCGAGTTATTTTGTGTTGGAGAGCCTCCAACACAAAATTACCTACCTACGCTACGCCTTGTGGCTTTGACTGTCACAAGTAACCTTTGAATTTAAGAGACTTTAAAATATGGAAGCATCCGCCTTATTTCGAATTACCCTAATGACTTCGAATTTTCGGGAAAATTGAACGGAGCTATATACATTTAATATCTCCCTAAGAGTAGATAATAAAAATCTGTCAATATGTTATAATTCCATTAGTTCTTACTTTTCCACAATATATAATCCGTTCCCTATGGCTGACCCACATCCACCACCACATCCACCTCCACCTCCGCAACACATCTTGGATAATTATAAAGCCGATTTCAAATAAAATATACAAAAGTAATAAATAAATTACAAAAAATAAACAATACAAAATCCTACAATGATAGAAAATAAATGTTAAATAAAAAAACACAGAGTATAAAAATATTATTTGACAGAAAAAAGTATAAAAAAGAAATGTTGCCTAAGTTCTGAATTGTATTATGTTTTTTTTGTTAACAGTTATTTACGTAATTTTAATTTGTATTTGTTAATAGATAAATTATCATATTTTTGATAATTTGTAAATTAAAACTAATGCACAAAAGAAATTTTCTCAAAATAAACTAAAAATACTGGCTCTCGCGACTTCCAGAGAGTTTGACAGAGCAAAACGTTATTTTTTTAAACTCCCTCCCGTAGAATGATATTTATATTAATTTTACAAATACAATAATATTATTTTTAATTTTTCAAACTTCTTACTATGATGGGGTACAATGTTTTAGAAGTGGATCATTTGCCAGACCCGCTTAAAAAGTAAGTAAAAATAATTAAATTTGTTGTAATAATAATGTAATTTTCGTATCTTACCTATATTGTTGTGTTTGAAATGCTCAGTAATTTCAGAAGCGCAAAATATTCTTGTTCATACTCATTTTTATCGGATGATGATGTTTCTATTGGCCTTTTCAAAATAGGTTGAGTATTGGTAATTTATAAAGAGAAACTGTATGGGTGTTCTAACAGGTGACACCAGATTTCTTTTTAAACCAACTGAGATTTAAGGCTTTAGGATATTATAATAAGTAGAACATGAGTAAAAACTGAAAAAAATGGAATCAGCCCTAACCGCTATCATAGTTGTTGTGCTTAACTAACTTAACTTGATTTTTGTGGAACGGTAGCAACCCTGCACATGGATAAACAGTAGTTAACTGATATTAAACAATTGGTGTCGCACATGAACACCCACAAGCCGCCGACCTTTTGGTGATTAGGGATTTTGGGGAGATAGGGGGATAATAGGAAGGATTGGGCTTGATGCTAGACTTTTTCCTTTATATTTCCAGTCAGCCTCGCTGGAAAGTCTGTTTAACTGTAACCCTGGTTCTCATTGCAATTACTGCAACTGCCGTGACGATTGGAGCCCTCACTGGCTACACTTACTGCTATATTGAGCATCACAGGATGGCAGGTAATTGTCTTTCTGGAGTTGGTCTATCAAGAGGTCCCGGTGTCCCTTATAGGTGTTGATGGTGGCCACCGGGGAGGTTTTAGTGAGGTAAAAATCCCACACTCCCTAGTCTTTTTCCCCAAAAGCGAAAAGCTTGGCGCCTTTTGAAGGTTTCCCCCGTTTACAAAAAAAGATAGTTATCTTACTGTTACTGTGTTTTACACCAGCCTAGTGTCGCCGATTTCTCACTAAAACCTTTGTATGACTAGGAGAGAGAATGCCGCCGCCGCTGGACTTGCCAGGGAGGAACATTAACTATATCGTGTCAAACAATTAACTTTTTAATGGTATAGGTACGGCAATGGTATAGGTAGAGCAGACGGATTACCTGATGGTAAGCAATCAACGTCGCTCATGAACACCCGCAACACCAAAGAAGTTACGAGTGGGTTGCCGGCCTTTGGGGAAGTTTCGGATATTTAAGGATTGGGAAGGGATGGCGGCAAGGGGAGGGATCGGGCCTCCGGTAACCTCACTCATACGGCTTGGCTCTCCAAAAGTTTTGGTGTATCTACAATAAATCAAGTATATTTCTATTACAGAGGCACATAACCGTACAAAAAACTTCACATTCGTCCGGCTGACTCCAATCTTCGAAAGTGAAGAGGCAAAGAGAAATCGAACTATAAACGGAGCTATAAGCACGCTTTTAATAACTAAGCTCCTGAACTCGGGCTGGCCAATGTCCAATGAACCTTCCAATGACGATTCCTCAAGCGAAGAAGAAGGAATAATACACATTGTACTTTGAAATGCCTTGTCAATATTTTCGTGAATGAAGGTTTTCGTCATGTGCCACTAGATGTCTCTATTAGCAATTATGATCATAAAATGTCTATAGAAACGGAGATTAAGGAAATGAAAAGTTTATCGATTGTTTCCAACGCATCGGCAGAAACCTTCATTACGTCAAAGTAATTGACATGTTTTTACTATCTAGATGTAACTACTGGTCATATACTAGTAAAATTATATGTAAAAATATTGCATTTTAATAGAAAATGAACGTTATGATCTTGGTACGTAGACATTTCATACAAAATTTATTATATTTAAGTGTGGGAGAGCCAAGCTTCGGCACGAATTTCGGCACGGCTTCACAGAAAACCGGCTTGAAACAACCACAGCGTTGTGTTTCGCCGTGTGAGTGAGGTTACCGGAGGCCCAATCCTTCCCCTCCCCCAATCTCTCCTCAATCCCTAAATCTCCAAATCCCTAATCTCTAAAACGTCGGCAACGCACTCGTAACTCCTCCGTTGCGGGTGTCCATGGGCGGCGCTGATTGCTTACCATCAGGTAATCGGCCTGTTCGTTTGCCGACCTATTACATAAAAAAAACACCATTCATGTTAGATGACACCACAAGGAAGGCATTTGGCCGCTATCACGCCTAGTGGTAAGCCTTGATGCAACCTATGATGGAGCACACCTACCCATAGGCAACCTATTCACTCGGGGCTTGAAGACATCTAGGTTATACAACAACAACACAGAACAGTACATTATAATATCAAAACTAGCTTTTGCCCGCGACTCCGTTCGCGGAGAATAGAGACATCTTGCAGATTTTTGGTATAAAAACTATCCTATGTCCTTTCTTGAGTTCCAAACTATGTCTGTACCAAGTTTCACAGAAATCGGATTAGTAGTTTAGGCGTGAAGAAAAGACAGACAGTACTTTCGCATTTATAATATAAGGTTGGAAGTTTGGATGGTAACTTTAAAAATCTATTGCAAAAAATAATATAGGTAAAAAGGTAGGTGTAGATAATGTACCTGCATTCGTGTGATAATGATAACTGCACTCACCCACGGGATAAACGCGTGCGCATCTCAGGATGCAGTAAATCGGATGACAGCACTTAAATCATTTCATTTGTAGGCATTATGTTGTTGTGCGTAGGTATACCACATCAGATTATCATCACAGATCACAAAATCATTTTTATCTAATAGGATGGCAAACTAGCATACGGATTACCTGATGATAAGCAGTTACTACCACTCATAGACACCCGCAACGGAGGAGTTACGAGTGCATTGCCGAACTTTTGGAGATTAGGGGTTTGGAGATCGGGGAGGTATTAGGGGAGAGGAAGGAATGGACCTTCGGTAACCTCACTCACATGGCCAAACACAACGCTATGCTAACCTACATTTGGTACAGCTTATACTGAACGAAGGACTTTCCCATAATGTTCTGTGTGAGCCAGTTCTAAAGGAGTACCTATGCATCGCATCTACTAAAGATTGAACATCCTTACAAGCAGATTGGTGTCTTCAGTGACCTTGCTGAGTCGCGTTTTCATCACTTAAACTCCTAAGAGGCCATCGGTTTTCGCTCTCACCTTATTATTATAAATCACTATTCCAAGATTAATAGTTAAGAGAATTCATATTGTCATTATCATTATTTGAAGGGTTATGGTGAATTCTAATCAAGTAAGAGGTAAGTTGACTGCACGGGCAACTTCTCGCACGGGATAACTCTTTGTGTGATCCACAAATCCCGGAACAACAAGTTCCGGGTCTGGGTGATGCGTATTTGAAATTGTATGTTTGTAACGTTTGTTCTGTATTCTGAGGTTTGTAACCTGTGTTTGCTGTGTTTGTAACGCAACCACGACACAGGAGAAAGTCCTAGTGTGTAAAAAAAAGAAATCACCGAAAAATTTAAATTACTTCTGTTTTTCATTCTGTAACAAGTATATTTAATTTGAGGGTATTTAAAATGATATCTGGGTGGTTAACCCAACTTGAAAATTATTTATTTAGCATTTTTTGATGCCATTTGTTTCAAAATTGACCTATATAGATAGTGAGCAAAATAAGGAGTGAAAAAAACCGTTTATTTTTGATTCTTACTGAATAATAACAAATACTGATAAGTAACCCGTTTCATCATCTGCCCCGAGTCGAAACAAGATTATAAAAAATTAACAGTGCCCAATTTTGATGGGAAAAAACTATTTTATTAAAAATGCTATTAGGTTTGTATAAATTTTGATTTTAACGGGGTTTTAATGTTCCGAATTAGATTGCACTTTGATGAGGTGGCTAGGCTACCGTCTGTGGAACCACGTTGCGCAGATTCGATTCCCGCACCGAAAAATTCTGTGTGATCCAGAAATTGTTGTTCCTGTCTGATGTGTATGTGTACTTGCATGTTTAAAGTCCTAGTGTGGGAAGACCCTGGCATTAAATTCGATTAATGTAAAAACTTTGACTCCTATAAAATGAGAATAATTGGGTAGTTTCCTAGGTCAAAAATAAAGTAATTCGACGTTTCAATACAATAAGATATTAAAAATTAACTATACTTTTATTCATCGATCGATCGATACACTAAGTTTTAGATATTTTGTAGCTAATTATTAAGAAATAAGTAAGCTATTTGAGGCCAAAATACTATGACGTCATAACTTAGTTTTTCATACAAATTTCATAGAAAAGTATCGTTTTTGACATTTGGATAAAAGTATTGAATTTGACTAGTTGGAAACTACCGTATTATAGCTGTTAGTAAAAAAAAACACAAAAATTTTGTCAATAAATTTAATAGTTACGCAATCTTCAAATAATTTTTGTTAAACAGCGCCTAATCCTTTTCGCTTAGCATCCGTCGTTTTCGATGTTACTTTATATTATGCTTCGCTTATGGTATGGTAACAAATTTATAAAGAATCTGAAGTGATAACAATAACACTTTGATTGTGATGGCTTTCTGAAAGGTACTCTTACCCTTACGGGTTCAGATACGAGGAGACCTATAAACATTACAATTTTATAGCACGACCCT